TCTAGACCATCGCAACATGTACTGCATCCTGATCCCTTGCAGGTATCAGGAGTTGTTAACAAACCCTGTCTTTGGGGGTCCACTGTTTGGAAAAGGTCAACTGCCCGGGACCAAATCACACACACACAGTGCCCCCTGTAAGGTGCATAGGCCAGTTGCTCCAGGAGCATCAGCTGATCTCAATGTTCGGCCAGCGTCGGCTACCTTGGAGAAGCCAGAAGGCCCTTCCGATGACTTCACTTCAATCCTACTGGATGACTTTACCTCGGGGAAGTGTGGAGCCATCAAGGCAACTGGGATTGAACCTATGGCTAAGTCTTGCTAGTGATTGAACTTGCTAGACATGTCCAACCTAGATCACCCGCTGGATCCCGCTGGTAGTCTTGTAGGGGTGATGGAGGTTGCAATATAGGGTGTGCAGGATGTCGTCCATGGACACATAGTGTTTCCCATGACAAAGTCTGGCCATGAATGGGGCATCAAAGGTACAGCAGCTGGCTGCTGCTGCCTTGAAGATGTGCAGAACTTTTGGAGGGCGTGTACCCCACAATGACTTGATTTGCCGATTGTCTCGTATTGCTTCCATGGGCCAGCACCCGTCGAATGCAGAACGAGATCTTCACGTTCTTTTGAAGAAGGAGGTGCGACAAGTGGAACCTGAGGAAGTTGATGTCCGGATGCGGGACCATAAGAATGCACGGGTTATATGGGCCAAGGTACCAGTCATAATGCCTGATCAGCTTGCGCGCGCCATATGGCAGCTTGGAAGAGATGTGTTCCACTGGTTCTTCATGGACAAAATGAGCCGTGATGACTGCAAAGCTTTTTGGGACCATGTCTATCACACCTCTGATTGGTACAGGTCCCATCCGTCATCTGGACGCGACCGTGGTGGACAAATCCCCCTGAGTTTCTATGGGGACGAGGTGGCTTGCTACAAAAACACTGAAGTCTCTCAAGTAGTGGTGTTAGCCTGGTGCTCGGACTTTTGCTACAACCGATCCCCGTTCACAAGATATATGTTGCTGACGACCTACGCTGAGTAGGCAGCTTCAGACCATACCTATGATGATATCATGACTGCAGTCTCTGCAAGTGTGACTCGTCTGGTTGATGGCTCAGTAAACTACCCATGGTCAGGGTTATACAACTTCATGTTCAGCTCGAATCAAGGTGACTTGAAATTTCTTCTGCAAAAGCATCACGTTCACCCCTACAACAGCAACAGGTTTTGTTCATGGTGCCTATGCACCAAAAAGGATCCAAGCGGCAATGTCAGCATGACTCTTGGAGACATGCGCGAGCAAGCTGACCACATCAGCACTGGCATTTCTCACGAGGAGTACATGAGGGACACACCCCAAGCTGAAAGATATTGAGTTGCATGAAGTAGCAACACTTTAGATGGTTTCCCATAGTCAACTATTCATTGAAACTTTAGTTTATATAAGACTATGTGTCCGTGATAAGTAGACCTCACTAAGGATCTGTCACCTTTGCCATTCCAGGAGCACATCTACACAGATTCCTGCATGACGTGTGCCATGGCCAACTCTTAGGAACAGGACGAGCTTTGAATGGATGCATGGCATATAGTTTCAAAACAGTTTCTCTTTTGATCGTCTCTTCAATCTTTCAAAAGCCTATCTGTAAAGAAACGCTTATCCTTTTGAGGCTCCAAACACTTCCCAGGTCGTCACCATCACGTCATGTTCCCCCTATGCATAGCTATTGTTTGTCTGTAGTTTCTTGCAGCCGGCTGTGATAAAGCCATTTCAGGATCCATTCTGGCATATTTGGCAGAGGGTGGAGCGTTTGGTGACTTTGGTCGTGGACGCTATCCATTTTTGTTGCAAGGTCGTCTGAATGCTGCCTTCAAACGTTTCAATGAGTGGAAGCGTGAGAATCACATTCCGACAACGCAGGCAAGATTTACATGCGCGAGGTTAAACAGAAAGGGCCGAGGAGACTATCCTGCATTACAGTCCAAAGCTGTTGCCGGCAAGCGATTATCATTTTGGCTGGCTGAGGAGGCTTTGGCACACAGCCTGAAGCCAAGTGCCACAGAGCTTGACAAATTGGTGAGTCTTTGCGCCAGTTCTTATGTTGATCTTCTGCGAATGCTTAGTGAGTTTCCTTTTCTTCTTTCAGAAGACCAAGCCGGTCGTCTTTTCACAGCAGGGCACCGCCATCTATTGTGCTACACATCTTTGCGGAACAAGTCGGCAATGACCCGCAGCAATTGCAATCGCTCCATGTGGCCACTGCTTCCCAAGCATCATTACATGTTGCATATGATCCTTGTGACACGCTCTTCCCGTGTGAACCCCCGAAATTACACACTTCTGTGTGCCGAGGGGTTTGTCGGACACATTGGCAGAATGGCTAGATTGACACACAGGTCGTCCGTGAGCCGCCGAGTGATCCAGAAGTACAAGTTCAAGTTCCAGGTTGAGTTGAAGAAAGAACTGCTTAAGCGTTCACGCCAGTGAAAACAAGGGTGTGTCCTGGTGAGGGGTCAGGGGTCTCATGGTGAGAGGTCACAACTTGGCTGGGCCCTCAGTTTTTCAAGTGATGGTGCAAATTATATAGCGACGACCCGAGAAGTGTTTGGAGCCTTTGGGCACTGGAAATAGTTATCCCCTGGATTCCCCCGGTATTTTTGGGTCGCGATCCCCCAACATCCCCCCAACCACGCAGCTGTCAGGGCTGCGCGAAAGTCGTGGCCTTGAGCTGAGCAGCGGATTGCGATGCGAAGCACACCGGGGCATGTGGAGTGGGAGGCCTTGGTTGAGCCAACACGGATTTGAAGTGCAAACTTTCTTAATCAACTTATGTTATGAATTGACACCATTTTGCAATATGTTTTTGCAACCTGTTCACAGTTTGTTGTTCAGGTTGTTAGGCCGCGCCTGTGCTAAACGCTTCAAGAACGACACCCCCACAGCCAGCTTTCTTCGGGCCTTGCTGCCCCTTGAGAGGCGCCCAAAGAGAGGCGCCAAAAGCCCAGACCACCGGCCCCAAGTTTTCCGCCCAAAAGCAGACCTCCCTCGAAGGAGTTCTCTGCCTAACTTGGGTTATCTGGCAGCGTCGATCAAAGGGTCGAGCACTTCTGGCCAGGTCCCGCGGTGCGTCCAGCGCCAAACAGTCTTCAGTCTTCGGTTTTCAGCGCTAGAACAAGAACGGCAGCGTCAGATGGATCGGATGGGTCGGAGTATTGCGGGTGGACTGGAAGTTGATTCAGGTGGACCGGAGGCATGGGGAGGTGTTTGATGAGGTGAGCGCACCTTGAAAAACCAGGTTGCTTTAGGTGATTTTTACATTGGTAGCTCCAGGAATTGGGAATCTTGGGATGTCATGGATGGACTTTTTGTTATAGACCAAGGTGCACCTCTTCTGCATGAAGCCTGCTGTGTGGTTTTAACAGGTATCAGTTCACAGAAAAGTTGCACTTGGACCGCCGGCAAATCTGAATGTCACCACGTTTTGTCTGGACCATTTGTGGGTTCAGGTACCCTACTGTGTATCACAGTGTATCACATGCAGAGCAGCATGGATCCCTTTTGGCTTTGTAAAACTTCCAATTCCCAGACGCTCCATGGGACTGCCATAGGACTGCCGATCAGTTGGGGTGGTGCCAGGGGGGTCTGTCTGGGGCGGCAGTCCGTCCTGGCAGTCCCAGACAGGTCGTGTTTGGGATCGACGCGTCGGACACGGCTCAACCTCCACTCCGTTCCTCACATCCCTCACACCCTCGCCCATTCGCTGGCTTGATCCGGAGGTCCACGGTCAACGGTACCTCCGACCGTCACGGATCGTCCAGACATGAACACGTTTCTTTTGGGGTCGAAGTTATGTCCAGACATTGATCCCTTTCAATTGACCACAGACAGGTATGAGGTGGTGTTTTGGGAATGGTGTAACATGACCCCTGGCAAGACCCATTGTCCTCTACAAGCATGGGATGAACGTCGCTTCCATGTTGGAGGGGGCAAATCCATTGGTTGGGAGTTCAGAGGTCGCCGTTTAAATACTGAACTGGACGTCCAGCTGCAATGGAACCGGAACCGGAGTCCAGCGTCCGAGTTGTTTCCTGATTTGGTTAAGACCACAAGGGCCTGTAAGGACCAATGACCATATTCACATTTAAAGCGCATGTTTTGTCCATCATGTCCCTGTTTTCAAGAGTGATTACCAACGAGCTGGTTGGTTGTGGCATGGGTAATTTAGATATGTGCTCCATTGTCCCTTTCAACGCAAATCAGGTAAGACTATGATCAGTCGAACACGGGACTGCCTGTACTCTGTGCGGAAGCCACACATCCAACTGCCCGTACTCAAAATGATGACGGTGTTCATAATCATTCCTCACTGGAACATCGATTACGTTGGCACATACTGGGAAACTTGCAAACAGTAGGGAGTGTCCATTTGCCACCTAACCTAGCTTTCGCTGGAAGTAGGGTCATAGTTTACGTTCCAGTTCCGCCAAGCGGAAGGTCAGGGCTTTTCACCCGTCGTTTCGAAAGACCTTCGACGACACGGCAGCCGTTTCACCCTCGGAAGCAAAGAACTGTATACTGGACACCACTGGACGGTTTCGTCCGGAATTTGTGCGGTGTGTCAAAACTCTTTGCAAAGGACAGTTCTTTTTTTACTGGTCTATCTAGCACAGAAAGATCTCAGCAAGACAAGACCTGCTGGCCTCTCCACGTGCACTTCCAAGACAACCACTTCATGACAAAGCTGGATGTGTTCGATCTTGGGAATTCTTCAGCATTGTTTTAAGCTGAAAATAGCTGAACCCCACATCGCCCCCATTTAACCACCTGTTTCCACCTACGTCATATACATCACCTTTCACGGCATGTTTTAAGCTGAACGCTCATTCAACCACATCTTCCGCTTCCCAACTAAAGCAGGGTACCTATACCATATATCTACCATATCCACCATATCACCCACGAACCCCTTCGTTCTCCGTTCTTGCCCGTCTCCCAATGGCCCGTCCGGCGGACCGAGCCGGTCGCCGGGCCGATGGCGTCCGCACCGAGCGCTGGGATGAGATGCAACGGCGCCTGGCGCGGAAAGCGGGGCAGGCGCAGCCGGGTCGGGTCGGACGACGCAAACGGCGGCGGAGCAGCTGAGGGGGGGAGGAACAGCCGGTGGACATGGTGGACATGGTGGTTGGTCAAGGAATGTCATGGTGTTAGGGGGGCGTGGTTAAGTGGTGATGTTGGACGAAATAGGGAGTCACGCAGCAGTCAAGGACAGGATCAAGACACAAAGGGGTTTGTATCGGGTCCTCGAGAATAGGGAGACCCTTGGAAGAAGGAATAATGAACATAGACCACAATCCATTGGTGGGCTCAAGTATCAAGACTTGCTGATCAGTTGGCTTTGCTTCTGGCGCATCCGAATGTCGCCATGTCGTGGCACGTTGAGCCAGAACTGCTTCGCAGGGTTCTTCTCCTTGTGGTCATCGTGTTGCGGCCTTTGGAAGGGTATTTCTTTCACCTCACAAGTGTTTTCGCCGGAAGTTGCTGATTCTTGGTTTGCTGGCCGCCTTGAACATGCTGGTCACAAGATTAACCTGGATGTGCCTGCCCTGAAGAGATTGCTGTGCCCGGAGCTGCATCTTTGTTTGGCCGGGACACTATCCAATGGGAGCAAGCCATCCACATGGGGATCGATTACAGGCGTCCGGGGGCAGGCGTTGGAGTCGCTGCTCCATGTAAAAGAAGACGCTTTGCGTGCGAAAATGGCTGCAGGTTGGTTTGAAAAAATGGTTGGCAAACAGTAGGATCTGCTGGCTGAGCTGGTGCTTTGGGTCGGGCCGTGTCAGAACCTGTGGAGCTGCCGCTGGCTGAGTTGCCGCTTCAGGCTGTGTCAGAACCTGTGGCGGAGTTGCCGCTGGCTGAGCTGGCGCTTCGGGCCGTGTCAGAACCTGTGATGCTTGAGACAGTCCACGACAAGATGCAAATCAAAGCAGGTGAGAACAAGTATTGGATGTCTCAAGGTGGCAAGGTGACGGAAGAGTACACAGCACTACGGAAGAAACATATGGATCTGATTGGCCGAGGGGTGGCTATGAAAGTCGCCCCACAAAGACTGATTGAGGGTGTCTATGAACCACCCAAGTATCGTTCCAACCAGAATCCGCAGAAGGTAGGCACAGACCCTCCTGGCAACCACCAACCTTACAGGAACCCTCCCAGTTCGACCCCCATCCAAAACAAATTGTTTGGGGGGAAGGGTTCTCCCGGAATTAATGTGCACACCCGGTTTAAAAACATACTTTACTTCGAGTGATCCCCACCACGACATTTCAATCTGACACAATTTCTGGCATGTATTGAAACAGTTTTTTTGGCATTATTTCTGGCATATATCTTCTGATATTCTTTCTGGCATCTCTTTTGACATTCATTCTGGCATTCTATTTGACATATCAGCTGACATTCTACATATCTTCTGACATTTTTGTCTGGCATATCTTCTGACAATCGTTCTCGCATATCTTCTGACATTCTTTCATTTGGATTATTTTCTGCCATTATTTTTGCCATATCTTCCGACATTTTTTCTGGCATCTCTTCTGACGTTCATTCTGACGTTCTTTCTGGCGAAAATTCTTCTGACAGTCTTTCTGGCGTACCTTTTGACGTTCTTTTTGGCATGTCTTTTGACATTCTTCCTGACATTATGGAATTGACTCGCTGTTGAGGTTCGGCGGGAACACTGCCGTCCGGAGCTGGCAGTTGAGGTCGGGCGGAGAACACTGCCCGCCGAAGCTCGTGGTTGAGGCCTGGCAGGGAACACTGCCGTCCAGAACTGGCGGTTGAGGTCCGGCGGGGAACACTGCCATCCGGAGCTGGCAGTTGAAGTCCGGCGGGGAACACTGCCGTCCTACACTTGCGGTTGAAGTCCGGCAGGGAAACTCTGCCAGCCGACACTCGCGGTTGAGGAGGAGGAGGAGGAAGAGGAGAGGAGAGGAGGAGAGGAGAACAGCACGGCAGCTGACATAAAATCTAACAACTCTCACCTGACAGGTTGAGAAAGACGTTGCACTTCTGTCGGTCGGTTTCTTCGCCGTGCCACAATACCGTGCACCGCCACAGCCCCTCGGCCGAAGAACGCCCGCCAGGTCGCGACCTTTGAGGACACGCCTCGCTTGCTCAAAGCAGCCGAGGAGCCCGAGGCGACCGAACCGACGATGCAAAGCGGCGCCAACGAACGGTCGTTCTCGCACCCGTTTTAGGGGGTTTGGGGCCACAATGTTCGAAAACCGCAGCGGTGGTTCGGGCTATTTTGTTTTTTTGGTGGGCTGGAACGCGAACAACGCGACTACATGGTTATGGTCAGTTATGGTGATGTGATTTAGTCGTGATGTATTCATGTTGTGGGCCGTCACGGGGTGTTGGTTTCGACCTGTTTTCTTTAATTGACAAGTTGTGAATTTCACGCAGGTAAGGCTAGGCGGCTAGCCCTTGACATAATATTGCGACAAGGAAACGTGAGAGAAAACTGTATTTGCACGATTGTACACCTGTACATACCATATTGACCTCTATGTTTGGCTCAAGAAAAGGGCGCTCTACATGTTGGTACTTGTAGGCTGTTGGCCTGTAAATTCAGGTTATCAGCCGTATCGCCAAAGAGCGGTACGCGCCATTCTAGCTGTGTCACCTACCCACCCTCGTTCTGCGCACACGTGAGGTGGCATGGCGGACAGGCCCTTCGAACCAATTCGAGATGGCACGGATCGATCGAGGTCAAGAGTCGGTGATGCCGATGAGAATGGGTCATATGTACAGACGGAAGTCTTCACCTCAGAGCATGATGAGGATGCATTGGTTGAAGCACATGGGAACGTGTTGCCACCAGCCACATCGACTGGTGCGGTTATCCTGTCTCCCACGAGCCCTGCCTTTGTTCCGTCGAGTACGTACAATGATTCGAGACAAGTCATTAACCAAACGGCGAACTTCCACGATCAAAGAATGATCAACGTCAACCTGGACAAGTCCGCTGAAGTCGCACAACTTGCAGAAGCGCGACACAGGGAACTGATGTCCAAGAAAGATGAAGAAGTGAAAAAGACAGTGGAAGCCATTCACCGAGAGGCACACGACCATGTCAAGGAGCAACTCGAGTTACAAGAACGAAGAGCTGCATCTTGGGCTGCAAACGAGCAAGCTAAGATGAATGCACAAGAAGCAGTCATCAAGAATGCTGCGTTGACTGAAGCTCAACTATACAATCACAACTTGACAGAATTACAACAACAAGCACAGAGTCGTGAATCGCAGCTGAGGGAAGAGTTGAGAACACAAACAGAGCTCATTAGAGAACTTCGAGAGAAAATGGAAACATCCGCTCGAGGGAACTATGAGCCTGCTGGAACACCGGCTAACCTCAGGACAACTCTTCCAGGTCCAATGGGTTCAAACGAGCTACCTCTTGGTCAACCATATCGACCAATGCAGAAATCAATGACTGATAGTTCCGGCGAACCCTACCGTGATGCTCTTGCGAGTGGAGCGGTTAATGCTCCGAAGGTAGCTGGAGGTGGTCCTCCAGATCATCCCAGTTCATCAAGTTCGTCTTCATCCGATGACAAGAAGAAGAGCAAGAAAGACAAAAAGAAGAAGAAGAAAGATGACAAGGAAGAGAAGCGTGGCAGATCACCCCGCAAAAAGAACAAAAAGAAAAACAAAAAGGGGTCACCTTCACCGTCCGAGTCACCTTCATCGTCGAGCTCGTCTTCTGAGGATTCATCCTTTGCCCGTAAGGGTAGGAAGCATTTGAAGAAGATGAAGAAAGAGGATCGTGAACAGAGGGCCAAAGAGGCCGAAAAGATCCTCATTCCCAAGTTTCCTACACCTGAAAGGTATAGAGATTGGCGAATTAAAGTTCGGGACAATGTGTCAGCGGCGTCCGCTAAGCCGGACAAAGCCAGGTTATGGCTGGGTAAGGTTTATGAAGACGCCGTGACCACTAAGGACCTGGATGACTCTGAGGGTTTCATCACGCTGGATGCAAAACTTCTTTCAAGTCTCACGAACTGTGCGGAGGGGGACCTTGCTCGCCAACTGAACACGTTTAAGGAGACCAAAGAGAAAGCAAAGGAACCAATTAAGGGACGACAAATTCTACTGTTGTTCCATGAGTACTTTGCTACATCCATCAAACACGGTGCTATTTACGATGTTGAAGATCTTATATGTGTTAAGATGGTGAACGAGGACCTGAAAGGTTTTGTCACGCGATGGGAGTCTGTTATTGCGGGGATGCGAACGGAGGTTGACAAGAAATGGCTTGAAGCATATTTTCATCTTGCTGTGAAGAACTTTAAGCCTTTAGCTCATGATCTTGCCATCTACGAACGCGCCTCGGAAGGGAGTGCCGAAAAGACTTACGACTTTTTGATCAAGTCAGCCAAGGCATACCTTGAAAGGAAACGTTTGGAAAAGATGAGGGATGCCACGAAGCGTAGTCTTGGAGGTAAAGACCCTGCAGCTCCTGTCATTGACCCAAGTGACAAAAAGCCGAAAGGTGTTTGCTATGAGTTTCAGAACAAAGGAAAGTGCAGTAGGCGCGACTGCCCATTCAAGCATGAGAAACCCCGTGAATCCAGCAAGGGGGGCCCAAAGGTGGTGGAAAGGGTAGATCTTCTTCTTCACGTGGAAGGTCGTTGACTCCGGGATCAAGATCGGAAGTTTGTAAGTTTTGGAAATCTGGTGACTGTCACCGGGGAAAGAATTGTGCTTTCAAACATCCCGATCGTTCTTCTACACCCGCACCAAGTGACGACCGGAAGAAACGAAAGAAGAAGAAGAAGGAGAAAAGAGAGAAGAAGAAACGAAGTACTTCTCGTGGCTCCAACGGTTCTGGCGGTAGTCAGAAATCCAAAGGTGGGAAAGGTGCTCCTTCTAACCCAGCCGCTGTTTGCCTGCTGCGCACTCTGGTCTTAGCTACTGCGGTCTCATCATCACAGTCTGCTACTATCAGATGCCCGTTGGAAAGCGTGGCCATGGTTGCTACACCTGCCACCAGTTCTTCCCCATCATCTTCGTCAGGACGGGGAAAAGTGAAGTGCCTTTCTTTTGCTGACAAACCAGAAGTTTTTAAACACGTGGTTCATTGCAATTCTTTAATGTTTCCAGTTGTTGCGCGAAAACAAAGAAAGCATGTCAGTTTCCCAATAGGCCACAAAGGAAACGCTGAAGTTTTGGAAATGGCATCTGAAGATGCATGCGTTGCAGCAGAACGTTTGAGCAGAGCTGTTTCAAACGAGTTGAACGGCATCGAGGCACGCTGTTGCTATCTTTGCGATTCGGAAATGGGATGCAAGCATTGTTTTAAGAACCAACAGGTCACAATGCCTGCGACCGAGATCGCATGGATTGCAGATACTGGCAGTGCGAATGATCTGGTATCTAGGGAAATGGTCAATCGCAACGAAGTGTTCGAATCCTCGAAACCGGTTAGTCTTCTTACAGCTAACGGAGTGTTCCAGGCTAATGATCAGGCTAATCTTGATATTCCCTTGTTGGGAATCACTGCAAAACCATATGTACTTGATGATAGTCCGGCAGTGATATCCGTGGGACAATTATGTATTGATCATGATTGGTCGTTCATTTGGCCGTCAAATGATACACCATATTTCAAAAAGCCAAATGGGCAGAGGATCAAGCTTCAAGTGAAGGACTATGTTCCTTATTTACCATCAACCAGTGGTATGGCTATGACTGCTATCGGACATAAGTATGAAGAACATGCTTCCGGGAACGGCAAGTCTTCGTACATTCCGATCCCTACTTCACCTAGCGTAGAGGAAGCACCCCATGAGTCTGCGGAAGCAGAACCCGAAGCAGTCGATGCCAGGTTAGTCCCCGATCCACCAGCGGAAAAGCGTGATCGTGGTGAACAAGCCTTGAGGCGGGAAGCAAAGTCGCTTGCGCATTTGTTGACGCATGTTCCCAAGAACCCTTTTTGCACGACATGTTCAAGGGCTAAGATGACTAAGCCACCATCGTACAAGAAGGGAGGATCCGAAACTGTTGATGCTGACAAGTTTGGTGATCACATCACTGCTGATCATCTCATTCTTCGGGACGACGAAGAAGAGGCTATCGATGGTTCAAGAAACGCTCTAGTCGTTAAGGACATAGCTACGGACTTTAGATATGTATATCCGTCGGCTAGGAAAACGACTAGAGATTGTGTTCTTGCATTGAAGCACTTCACCCGGGGACGGGATGACATTGGTGTGTTCTACTCAGACAATGCAGAAGAGCTCGTCAAAGCAGCATCAGAGTTGACATGGAGACACGTTACAAGTGTTCCCTATATATCTAAGAGCAATGCTCAAGCAGAGAGAAGTATTCGATCCGTTCTTGATGGAACTCGTATCAATCTTGAACAAGCAGGTTTGCACCATACGTACTGGACGCATGCCGCCAGACATTGTTGTATGGCGCACAACATACTCGGTGATCAGGAGGCTCAGACACCATGGCAACTCAGGTTTGATGAGAAGTTCAAGGGACCAATGATTCCTTTTGGAGTGAGGGTTGACTATTGGACCGGACCAAAAACCAAAACCAAAGAAAAATTGAAATTCGATCCTACCTCACTACCAGGAGTATTTTTGGGATATAAGATTCACCCTGAATTCTCATGGAGAAAAGAGTTTCTTGTTCTCCCTCTCAAAGAGGTGATGGACAACAACTTTGATAGCAGTGTGCCATGGGTTGGAACGAACAAACTCGCATTGCCTGACGGAGATTTTGTGTTTCCACTGAAGGACAGGTATAATGCTATCCGTGAGGGTCGCATTCCATGCTACATGATATCGGATGATCCTCCGAAGCCGGAAGATGAGGATGCTAAACCTGTGGAGGAGTTGATTGATAAAGGTCCGATGGAAAGTGGCAAAGCATTTAAAGTCCCTTCGACTGACGGAATGGTTGATCATACGAAGAAGGATGCGTTTGAGAGTGGGATTTATGATCCTGGTGAAGATGAAGAGGGCAAAGGAGGTTCCTCATCATCATCATCCGGTAAGCCCAAAGATCCACCCAAGGATCCTTTCGAAGGCGTTCCGCCTGAAGACATGGTTGAGGTTGTTGATCCTGTTACAGGTGAAGCGACCTCAATCCCAAAAGAGGGGTCATCATTCTACAGCGCGGG